TTCAGAAGCAGGTGAGGAATCAGACAATAGATTCATTGTAACTAGCCAAGTACAGCATAAATATCTGGTGGAACTGATGCTAAAACTTCTTAAAAGGAAGCCTAGCCAAAGAGGAAGTCAGGTGAACAGTGAGAGGTTGACCAAGAGACAAGAGTTCTCAAAAGTTTCAAGTTTTTCTAGTACAGAATTGGAAGAAATATCACTGCAGCCAACTTCTTCACTTTAGTCCTTCTCACTGAAAACCTTAAATGATAAGCTTATGTAGGCACTATTTGATTTTGATAAAACAACACATTTCAGGAATAAAATGAAATTGGAAAGAAAAATAGTTTAATGCTTGGATTCTATGACCAGGTTATTCTTGATAATATGACAGTGTACCCAGAACACAGACACAAAAAAGTTGAATGAAGATTACGTTTGAAACCTAAATAAAAAATTAAGTAAACATGAACATTCATAATTAGGCATCTCCTTTTGACAATTATAATTTTCAGATATTTCAGTAAGCTAAGTATTACTCAGTGTTTCTGTTTTAAATATTATACATTATTATACTAACAAGATGTTTGAGATTTTGTTTTTAAACAGAGATATGGAAATTAGAAAGGATGAAAACACCCAGACAATGAGGACTGATTTTAAAAAAAAAAAAAAAAAAAAAAAAAAAAAAAAAAAAAAGATGCTTTCCAGTATTCTTGAGATAAAGTTTGTTGTGTATGTAACTCATTTTTGCATAAAAAAAAAAAAAAAAAAAAAAAAAAAAAAAAAAAAAAAAGAAAATCAATTCTATTTGGACATTTTAGAATAAATGATCTAGAAAAAGGAAACAATAAGATAAACAGAGCCATGTAAAAAAAAAAAAAAAAAAAAAAAAAAAATGAAAAAGCATCCTTGTATAAAATGTGTCACAAATGATCCTACTGTTATTATAGTCACTAACATAGCTTCAGAATTAACAACCTACAAATGAAACATAATTCAAGAACTATTTTAAAACTGCCTTTTCCTCGATATTAAATTTATAAATTTCATAAATAAACATTGAATCTAAACATTAACTTGAGTACAGTTATACACATTACAAAACTGTGCAACCAGCAAGTTTGTATACAGATTCAAGTGAAATTCAGTTTATTGGAAGGTAGAAATATAATTAAGAATATTCAATAAAATGCTATAGATCATTTCTACTACATTTTTTATAATCTAAGCAGCAAAACGTTGCTGAAGGCATTGAACATTCATCTGAAAAGGTTACTCTTTCATCATTTCAAGTTTGTCTCAGAATTTTTCTTCTCCAATTAGTGAATTGGGCTGCATTTGAAGAACTAATGCTACTAAATTTTAAATTTACTTATTACTAACTGAAGTTAGCTCAACTTATCTTAAAAGTAGTTCAAAATGTCTGAAGCAATGAAATTCAAAATTTAGTAGCAATGGGTTTTCAAAATCACCCTGCTCCCCCCCATATCTGGCAACTCTGTTTCACCATATTATTACAAAACAGTAAGGTCAAATTAATTTTCAGTATTTTATTTATTGCCTCATACCAGACTAGGAGTGGAGGGAGGGGGGGGGAGAGAGAATCTCTCCATGTCATTAACATACATTTTTCTGTGGTTTCATTTCATGACTTGCCACTTGATATATAGTAATAAGCAAGATGTTTTATCTCCATTCTAAAGTTTGAAAAGACAGAGACAGAAAACAAGCCAGTATACTGTTAGTAAGAAAGGACTATAAATATCCAAGTGCACTTTTTGTCAACTTGTATTATATTTCATTGTATTTTCAGCAATGACTAAAGTGAAGTTTTCTAACCATCCTTAAATGACAAAATAACCTAAACTCCCCTTCCACCTTTATATATAACTTACTTGCTACTAATTTCATCCAATTTTGAAAACTTGAGTTTGCAAACAAAACTCAAATGGATTAAAACTTAACTAAAGATTTGAAATTCCACTCTGTAAACTACCAGTAAATTTCAATCTTAAATTCAGTTTTTCAACAACTTATTAAATGTAAATTACTATTTTGATAGATTTATGAAAAGCTGTGAAGTATTGGGATACAGTTCATGAAAACATTTATATTCAAGGCAATAATGTCAAGACAAAAGGGGTTGTTACTGAGAATGAAAGAAAAATAATTGTGAGAGGAAAGGACAATAAGAGACTAGAATTCAGGAAGACAGAAGATGGCAAATGATGCTGCATTAAATTTTTGAAGATCATAGGTGTCAAGGAAACAAGCCAAGAGTTCCACAGGCAAGAAGTGCAAGAAAAACTATTAGAATAAAACTTATAATTACTTATAGCTATTTCAACAGGGAAACAATGAGACCTACTTGCCAATCTAGTACTATGCTTAAATTTATGTGTTCAAGGTACCAACAAGGAAATCTCATTAAAACCATTGCCATGGAAATGAAAGCCAAGTTATAATGGTAGGAAAATAACTGAAACAGGACCAATAACATTACAAACCCTTCTTTGGATTTTTAAGATATATAGTAGGATCACCAGACCGGATATGGCAGCAATATTCAATGTCCAGATGAATAGTAGGTTTATAAATGTGCAAGATGGATTCTGGTGAGAAAAATTATCTGGCACAACACAGTGAACCAACTTTCCTAGCAGTAGATGTAGCAATTGATTCAATATAATCATTCCTCTTCATGTCAGTGGAAAACACAAACCCAAGAAGGTACAAATACTTCTTTAAGATGATTAAAATGGTCACAGTTTCATTTTGGAGGCATTAAAATTTACAAGCCGATTAAAAAGGTCATTTTCGAGATCAGCTGCCAGTTTTACTTTGTCGGACATATCAGACTTGCTATTAAAACAGGAGTAAATAGTTGTGTCATCAGCATAAATATAGAGTTGGGATCAGGTGACATTGAAAAATTTGTTGATAAAGCTAAGAAAAAGTAGGTCCAAGGATAGAGCCCTGTGATGGGGTGGGGTGTAGGCACCTGCATTAATGTTAAGTGACCTATAAGAGTGGCTATTCAACACAACTTTCATTACACAATATGTTAAGGATTGGAGCAAATCAATAATTTGGCCAGAGACACCATAGCCCTTCATCTTGTGAAGAACACCAGTACACCAAATGCTGTAGATAATTTTTAAAAAATAAAACACTAAAACACTAACAAAACAAAAAACACAAAACAAAAATGGTTTGGTTTGTTTTACAGCATATCAACCTCAATGGGTTATTTAATGTTGACAAAATTTTTTTTTTATTGCTGGTAAATTTTTTTTTTTTTTTTTTTTTTAAATGTATTGCTGGTAATATTTTTTACAAAAATGTATTACTGGTATTAAAATGTATTTTTACACTTTCACAGTGTTTTCACCCCAGTTTGAGGTGAAACTATTTGCTCATAGCTGGGACCCTAACAGGTACTACCACCCCACATCAGGGTGGACCTGGAAACACCAGCAATTAAGTGGTTCCATGCTCCTCAAAACTTCCTGATCAGAGGCCTTGCTGTAGGATGTAGTTTATCATCTTACCCAGGATGGTAAATAAAATAAAATGGAATTTCTTGGCATCTTCTACTTAGAGAATAGGGCTTTTGTGTCTGAATTTCTAGGATGAGGAGTAATCATTTACACGTGGACTATTGTCTCCATCTTTGTTATCACATTTTGACTGTTATTTTATGCCTCCTGGCCTTCATCAGGTGATTGTTGATCCCGGTAACTTTCAGAGAATTTTAAATTGAACCCTTTATTTAATCTGGAGGGTAGGGGATTGTTCTCGTTCTACTACCCCACATAGATTGAATAAAAGGTTCAGTTCAAAAATTCCCCGATAAACAATCACTTGAAGGCCAAAGAGCAAAATGATTAAAATGTGATAAAAACAAAGATTGAAATCTAATGTCATGTCTAAATAGTATAAATAGTTAAAAGGCATGTCAATATTTTGAATCGGCCAAGTACAAAATGTGTGTATATTATTCATACATATGTTATGAATGAATACTTTTATTCATTAAATAGAGTTAAAAATCCATACCCTAAATTGATATTGAAGGATTTAGTAAGCAGAACTCGATAAAATGTTTCAATGAAGACTGAATTAGTTGCTACAATGTTAGACAAAACAGGCTTGTTAACCAGGACTACAGTATCCCCTATGTTTAGAATCAATAGAGGATTGAGCCAATTCAAATTCATAGTCTTTACTCATCAAGACTACAAACAATACAATTTATCTTAATAGCAAAGGTCTTTGTAGATATTTTTTATCACATCTATATGAAGGATTTAAAAGTTGAGAATTGACTGAAACACAAAGCCCCAAAATTTCCACCCCACTAAAGTCTCATGACTTAAAAGTGAAAACATTAATTAGTTAAAGAAACGTTATCTTAGTTTTTGTCTGATTTTTTAAAAATTGTCATTATATTCAGGTGAGTTCAGATTAATTTTTTTTTTATCTCTGGTTTCCTTTCATTACAAGATTTCAGTCATGCTCTGTAGAGAAGTGATGGAAAGGGGAAGCACACTCACAGCCTGTCTAAGCATGATCTGTTATTCCTGAACATAATAGACACTTGAGGAAGGTTAAAGGATAAGAAGTAGGAATGTTGTGACCACAAAGACAAGACAATTAGTCTCAGCTAATCCATAGACAATTACTTTTATCATTGTGTTTTATTGAAATATTAAACAATCAGAATACAAACTTTTTCATTCCAATTAATAATTCAATCATTTAAGAGACCTTATTAAAAAGGATAAAAATAGCAATTATTTTGTTTCCTAATGATAAAGTACAAGCTTTTTGATCAGGCTTGGGACCACCAATTCTTGTAAAACATGCTAGATTTTTGCATGTAACATCAAAAATTCCATCAATGATTTAAATAAAAGAAAAACCAAAATAGGTCTTAACTAGAAAGTTAGTGGCCAAGGAAAAAGATTATATAGTGAAAATAAAGTCAATTAAAATAATTTTTTTGTACTCACCTCATCAGCATAGTCAAGGGGATAATGTTGAAGGAGGAAGGGCTCTAAAAAAAAAATTTAAAAAAAAGTATAAATAAAATGAATATTAATACTGCTATTACTAATATATATTGGGAAAATGCAAGCTAATTAATAAAGGCTTTCAAATGATAAGATTAATTACATATTTGGGGCAGGCATAAAATTTAAATAAAGTGATAGGATATATTAGTTTTGACGTTCTATTATTTTCTTTCACAAAGCAAGTAACAATGTCCCTTGTACATTAAGTTTTATGGTTCATAGACTTAAAAATAAATAAATAAAAATAAATAAATAAATAAAATAAAAAAAAAAAAGACTGTCAATGCCCTTAAATGTTTCTCCATAAATCATCAATTAAACAGTAAAATGAAATTTTCAGATTAAAATTAACACTACTGACTTACTAAATCCTCTTATAGATAATTTAAGAGATGAATCCCTATTTATGTCAAATTTCTGAGATTAGAAAGTTAAGTTTTCTAGTAAATAGAAAGCAACATATTTTAAAATTAAATAAACTTTAATGGTACTATATTCTTAAGATAGAGTAATAACATTGATTCTTATATATATATATATATATATATATATATATATATATATATATATATATATATACACACATGACATTAGATCTCAAATGCAAATTTTGAGAAAGTAATAAACACAGATGTATATGTTGGAGCATACTGCTAGTATACGCAATATACCAGTACAGTAAACTGGTCAGAATAATACATATGGCAGCAACACATCATCTTACTATACAAATATTTATTTACAAATTTTCTCTTTTCTGCCATTTGAGTGACCACACCAAAAAAAAAAAAAAAAAAAATAACCAACACAAACCAACCCCCCCCAAAAAAACGACACAAACCAACCAAAAAAAAAAAAAAAAAAAAAAAAAAAATAACCATTGTGTAATTTTCACTTTTTTTCCTTCTTTAACTTTGTGTTTTATCAATTATCCCCAATACTAGAACCTGCCATGCTACATGCATTGCAGAGAACTACATTCATTCCCTTCATATTCCATTGGTGAGAAGTTCCACTTAAACAGCTTCTTTCCATTAAGCACCGTGATAACTGACTCCCAAGAGGATGCTTTCCCCAATCACTACAGTCTTAAACTGTTCAAGTCTAGGGTTAACTGTTATCTATTTACTATTTAACCCACAGCTAGGTCAATAAATGGATTCAAACTTTTACCATAGATATTTGTGCATAAGTGAATGTAACAAACTCAATTGAACTCTCCAATTTATTCCAAACAAATATTGCACCACACACACACACACACACACATATATCCTCCAAAGCATAAAGAACAACTTTCAAACAAAGAGAAGTAAATCAACAACATTTGAAATCTAAAAGTATACATTTTCTTCTAGAATGCAACATGCAAGAATTGGTCTTGATTTTCAGATATGAGAAAGAAAAAAAATATTTTAAAACATGATATATGATCAGTTCTGATTGAGAGAGAAAACAAATTTATAAATCTATCTAGGTTTTGAAATTCTAGAGGGGTAGATATATTTATTACACTGACTATATAATCTCTCATCTAGCCATTTTTTATAATAGGAAGTTTTCACAAGTTGAGTTCAGTAAAACTGCCGTCTTGCATCACAAGATTATTACAAAAGGAAAAAAAAAAAAAAAAAAAAAAAAAGATTGTCTAGACAAATAACATCTATGTTACAAAAGTTTACTTTTATTAAGCATAGTAATTACTCAGTGCTGTATAATTGAAACTTCTGATCAAAGGGTTGCTGATGTACAACCTTAAGCAATTGTAGCTCACTAGTCTTTGACAATCATGTGGAATCAGTTCACACACTTATTAGCTATTTATATATGCAAATATGTTATAGAATTAATAAAGATAAATAGAACTAACTAATGAATTCAGATCAATTTTATGATTGTCTTTATGTTAAGCATTTTAAATATAAATGGAAGATCATCATACTTATAAAACGCAGGTTGTGTGTGTGTTCGTTTATATATTGGATCAGATTTCCTACATTTTTCAACCGATTTCAACAAAACTTCACTTTTTGGTAGGTAGTGTTTCTTATTGTCTTGCACACTTTTTTCTTTATTTTTACATTCAGAATGCTTTAAAAATTCCATTTACAAGACAATTGTTTATAATAAAATTCTATTCAATCGGTAAACTCATAATGATTGAAAACAATGTTTTTGTTTGAGTTTGACCAATTCGTAAAAAAAAAAAAAAAAAACTAATTAAGACATGCGTGTCCATCAACCTTAAACAATAATCTTTGTCAATTTTATTTTTCAGTCTTTATGATGGTTGATACTTGATCTATCTCTTACTGTTACATCCCCGGGCAACGCCGGGCTCTACTGCTAGTTATTTAATATATTACCCAATTACACAACACTACAGATTTTTTTTTTTTTTTTTTTTTTTAAATAATTTAGTTGGATTAGCAAGTCTCACAATCTCCTCTATTAGGGAGTTTACAATCAGAGTAAAAAAAAAAAAAAAAAAAAAAAAATGTAATTCCACTTTGTTATGGCAGTGATAACTATTCCTTGAATACAAGTTAAAATAACATTTTATGAGTAGCAATTTAGCAGGATTCCAATGTGCATGTTAAAAAGGGACATTTCAGCTGAAATCAACTAGTAACTTTGTATATGGAATCTTAGCACAACTACACAATATTCTAATTTAAAAGATTATCTGATCACAGTCAACAAGTGTTTTAAGTTGTAAATTAAGTAAAATGTGAAAATTATGAACATTATTAAAATTAAAAAAATTATGATTGCAATTTTCTTGGCATATTTTTTTTTAGAACAAAATACATTAGCAAGTGTTAGGGTATATGATTGTTATTCCTTGAGAATTATAATGAGCACAATAGTTGAGTTTTGGAGCACAAATAAACAAAAACAGAAAGAACAATGAGAAACAGTGTTTTATTATTGCTTTTCATTTTACAGAAAGTGTACTGCATGCCACTCAAGGTTTTTGGAACACAGCATCAAAGACCAAAATGAATTTTTATATGAAGCAATTGTATCATTGCAAAGAAAGAATTCATCAGCTAGTTTCCTATTTGTGCTGCCTTTAAATGGAAACTCCACACAAAGTTAGTGATGCTATAAATTTGAAAGTCATTCTGTCCCTAAAATGAGGTGATAACTACAGAACAGCTCTTACTTTGTAACAAGCATTAAGCTCCTGGTCTGTGAATGGTAATTATTATTCTAAGTTTGGTTTTAATACCTGAACACTGAAAGTCTACAGAAAATTCCCAACTAATTATATCATTGTGAAAAGGGATGGTTTTATGACCTTTACATAGGTCACTCATTATCAGGCACACCTGCATGCTTCTGAGGGCTTAGTAGCAAGAGCAAGTTTGTTCCATAAAAGACCTGATACTTCATTCAATGTGACCTTGCCAGTACACAATAAGTAGAGTACTTGTATGATTTGCAATTGCCTCCACATGAAAAGCTAATTAAAATGTAGTAGAGAAGGTAGTGATCAAAGTAGTTTTTCCTGTTAACTCAATGTTGTTACAACAATCTGAAATTTTAAATTTTACAGCCCTTCTCATGGAGACTAAAACTAGAGCTGGCAAGAAAATAGAGTATAAAAGTTATATACTTTGCCCAATAGGAACCACAAACAATGCAAGGCAAGCCTGAAACTATTCGGTTTGATGTGCCATTCCAATGCAAAAAATCCACAGCCTTTCCAAGATAGAATTAAAAAAAAAAAAAAAAAAAACTCGTAGCTAGCTAGATTTTAAGCGGTTGGGTCAAGAATTTTCACTACCTCCTCATAAATATATGCAATGTTTTACAAGCAAGAAATTTTTCATGTTTGGCCAGATTTTGGAAAGTGGGCAATACCAAGAACATGTATGCATGTGTGATATGGGCATGTGGCTGAGTCACCTTGTGGCCATGAGACCTGGGTTAAATTTTCAGAATTTGTCAAGGAGATGATTTCTTGATAAGATCAGCCTGGGGAGGAGATCCCAGCATGCAGCATCTTTAGAAAGTGCATGAAAAGCAAAAGGGTTAACCAAAGTCTTGTGAGTAAAGTTGAACAGACAGAAGCAGTCAATAGTTATGCTAGTGCAAACTCTCAAGTCATTGTGACCAAGTTTTCTGGCCTTGTTAAAAAAAAAAAATAAAAATTTACCCATGCCAGATTATGCACTCTCGTCCAGAAACTAACTATGGTTCACTCAGTATAGTTGCAGCATAAACCACACATAGGCTCTGTAGGTGTCTGTAACAGGAATTTGCTAGCTACTCTAGCAGACAGGTTTGTTCAGAAATAAGTTGCTAGCCATATATATATATATATATATATATATATATATATATCTCTCCGCATGTGTGTAATAGGATATAGAATCCCAACAAAGTTTTGAAGAAATCTGACAAATGGAAAACATTTCATTGAAACTAGATTTGATTACATGTTTCACCTTTCTAGGCGTCATCAGATTCAAAAAGTGTGTGTGTGTATATATATATATATATATATATATATATATATAAAAAATAATGAATCATTAATACTTTTTTTTTTCCCTAAGCTAGCATTTCTTGTAAGAAAAGAATGAAAATGAGTGACTTTATAAAGGAAAAAAAGAAAAAGCCATTTATATTTCTGTATCTTTTATGATTCTTATTGATGTATTTTTCCAGCTATTTTTGTATTGAATTAAAGGTAAATCCTCATCTTATTTTCAGAATGGTTTGAAAGTAAGAGATTCATATAGCCTCTTCTGAATGGGTTGAAATTATAAAGATTTGTTTCTAGGTCTCCCATGTATTTTCAGTGTTTACAATGATTTCCTTTCATTTTTAGATATGATGAAATTTTTTTTTTTTCTTTTGTTGCTAATATTTTTCCATTTGTCAAATTTCTTCAAAACTGTCAGGATTCTATATCCTATCTTAAGCACATGAACTGGTTAACACCAATTTTATTTTAAAAAACTTACTTGCTTAATAAGTTCTCAGCTCAATGTGCTTTTCAAAATCAGACCAAACAGAATTTTTTTAAAAAGCTTTTTGGTAATTTTTTTTTTTCCCCCCATTTTGTATAAATTTGCAGTACACAAGTGGATATATATATATATATATATATATGCATGCATGCACACACAGATAATTCCTGATGCAATAGTGTTAGATACAGAAGTGAGCACATGCAGGTACAAAACAGATGCGCGCGCACACACAAAACACAGATGCATACATAATGAAATTGGGACAGGTGAACACACATATGGAGATGGTGACAGACATGCACAATTGTAATAATTTCATTTAAATAGTTTCACAATCACCAAGAAGAGCAAAGAAGAGATCAAGGCAATGTAAATTTATTGAAACTGCTGGAAGAAATACTCCCTTTATAGAAATATGACTTCATCTAAACAGGATTATTCCCAGAATCCAAAAGTAAAATATTTTAATACAATAGCAGCAGCTGTTTCTTTGCTTGTATTCCAGTGCAGAAGAAATTTCATGGAAAAGTTATTTATAGAAGTAACAGTTTGATATTTCCTGGATGACATACCCCCTTAATATATACAAATGAGTATGTAGATATGTAAATATGTTCTCATGGCTATTAGTCATGTAGTATATAGTTTTATGTATGAGTGTACCATTTCAACAGCTTCATGACAAATCCACCCGCTTCAAAAAGGAACATCTTAAAAATTCTTAATAAATAGTGTGTGTGTGTGTATATATATATATATATATATATATATATATATATATATGTGTGTGTGTGCACGTTCCTTCCAGAAGTTGTTAATACCAAATGGAAAATTCCTTTTACATGCTCTTTGATAATAACTAATCTGTTTAGAGAAGTTTTAACAGAACAATTTGATACCAAAAGAAAAATCTAAGTTTAAGAGGTGTACTTTTAGTTGCTGCTAGTCCCGCTTTAGATGTAAAGAGATCTTATATAGATACACCCATGATAGCTTAATATATTGCATTCAACTAGTTAAAATTTTAGTTATTTTACTGAATATTTGATAAAATTTTTGGTGTAGTAATTCTTATCACCAAATAATGTATAAACACACAAACATGTGCGAGTGTGTAGCAAACTCTACTTTCTATAAGTTTTATTAAAGATGATTGACAAGGTACAATTCAATTTTTTTTTCTCCTCTTGCATTTGTATATTTTGTCCAGAAGAGAAAAATACTTGTTAAATGCAAAAAAAATTGAATGCAAAACTTAATAGCAGTATCTGTCTTTTAATAAAATGGGTGTGTATATAATACATTTATGTGTGTGTTGATACCTATCTGGGTGAAGTCTTGAACAATTCACAATCTTACCAGGTAACTAACAAAAAGATGGAATTTATGCACTCTTAGAGAAAGGTGAAATCATTGGATTAACTAGTTATCAAAGACATTCCTGAATTTGATATTATTACAAGCTTTAAATGAAATGAAAATAACTTACCCTCATCATCATTGGATGGTTTGCCAATTTCTACAAAAAGTTCAAATATTCTTTCTGGATTATCTCTGCAATAAAAAAATGAAAAAAAGTGAAATTTCTTTTTCATATGTGATCAGTAGTTTCAAAAAGATTTCATTTTTTTGGCAGGGTAAGGGTCCATTGTAAACAATTTAAAAATGTAAAACCATTATTTAACTTAAATTTCATAAAATCCCACCATACCATTTACTGTGGTATAAATAGTTAAGATGCACAAATTTTGACTCAATTCCTGGTGGCACTCGGTTAAATAAGATATTTCATCCATATTTAAATGTGCTATTCACCATCCCAAATAAAATATGTACGAGAAGCTTCTGAAAAATTCTCAGTCTGACCAAGAAATAATTCCCAAATATTTAACTTCTCATCTAGCTTCATAGTAGATCATATACAAGAAAATATATTTTTTTTAAATACCACCCTAACAAACAAGTTTATGGCCATATTAGTCAATGTGAAATAAATTAATCACAATTTTAGGATTTGAGCAATAAAGTATTTCAATCAATAAATACTTGCATCAGGTGAAAGCAAGATGCTAATATTTGCAAGCAATCGTAGAATGCTGAATGACTTGCTTTGATTCTAGATACAGAATATTTATCATTTCCATTTCATGAAATGAGTGAACAAATAAGCCAATAGTGGTCATTTTTGCATAGTATACAATTTGTTATCATAGGAAAAAAAATCTTTTGTCGATTATATGTTAGTTCTATAAAAAGTACAAGTAAAATCCTTTTACAAATTTTACAGCTATTAAAAAAAAAAAAATAAAAAGCTATCATTTTAAAAACAAGTTAAAATACAGTTGACTTGTTCTAAGAAATGCTATGATAAACCTGATTAATGAAACACTTAAAATAGAACATATTTCTTACATTACATTCTACTTCTGTTGGATCAAAATCACACCTGAATGAGAAGTTGGTTATTCAAAAATGTATAAATTAAATACTGTTGGTAAGAGAACCAAACAAATAACAGAAGAAATCAATACAATCCTCTTATGAAAATGTTGTGAAGAAACATTGAAAAATCAAGATGAAAAATCAGATGATTAATAGTGAGCAGTTTTGTTTTGGAGGCATTAAAATTAACAAGCCATTCCTTACCCCAGTTAACAACAAATTTTGAGATCAGTTGCTAATTTTTACCTTATTGAACTGATCAAACTTACTATTAAGACAGAAGTAATAGTTGTTGTGTCATCAGCATAGATACCAAATTGAGAGCTGTAGCCATCAGGAAGGTCATTGATGAAAATTAGAAACACAGGTCCAAGGATAGAACAATGTGGGGGAGGGGGGACACACCTGTATTAATGCAAAAAGATGTAGAAAAAGTGGCCATTCAGGACAACTTATTTCATGCTTTGATAAAGATTGACTCAGTTCAAATGTCCAAAGCAATAGCCAAAGTTTCACCATTCTGATCTGAAGCTTGATAAACTCTCAGCAATAATCGTTAATAAATTAGCAATTGACCTTAAAGAAGCAAAAGTCATATTGCTTATCTGAAAGAAGACATTGCGGTGTGAGATGATTAACAAATTCAGAATTGATTATGACCTCTGGCACGTGTTAAAGAGAATAGGCCAATGGCAGCTGAACAGGCCAGTGTGAACCATGGAAAAGATTTTTGTTTCACCTGGTATTCCCAACAAGGTACCAAAGCATCACTGTTGGATTTAACCAAAGAAGAAACCTCTGGGACCCAATTCTCAATAGGAAGATGAAGAATATTAATCTAAAGGGTGTCTCAAGAAAAGTCATGAAATGAATGCCAATCAGTATGCTGGTAATAGAATTCTTGTGAATTAGGAAGTCCTTGTCTAATAGATGACTCAAAAGAAATAACAGATACAACATGATCTGAATTGCCAAGAGGACAGAGTTGCAATGCTCAGCAAGAGCTAGGAGGAGATAATGGAACAAATCAAGTAAAAGAAGCATATTGATCAGAATTATTAGGGAAACGAGTAGGGAAATCCACTATTTAAGCAAGAAAATGAGTAACAAAAAATTTAAAGTCTGAACATCAGTAACACTAGAATGCTTAAGCCACTTGATGAAAAAAAAAAAAAAAAAAAAAAGTCACCAAATGCAAAAATGTACACAGATGAATGTAGAAATACTGTCAGAAATTGTCCAAAAAAAAAAAAAAAAAAAAAAAAAATTATTCAGTTAACATTCTATACAACAGTTTCTTTCTTCACTTAAAGCAGAGCATCTGAAAAATTTCTCAGAGCCATGATCTTTACAGTTTATTCTTGATTTAAGTTGCAAATTGATCATTCTTTGTCTGCTTACCTTTGAAAATGCTTTTCTTTGAATATCAGTTCAAAGAAATCTTTAAAAACCCTTGATGTATTTTTTTCCTATTTTTTTTTTTAACAAAAAGCTTAAAACAATTTCTCTTAATAACAAATCAATAATCTCTGTACAACATTAATGTTATAAAGACTTTTTTTTAAAGTCAAATCAATGCTAGAGATTCAATGATCTATTATTTGAAATCTTGGAAGTTAAAAATAAACAGGAAAGAAAACACCTAGAAATTACTTAGGAGGATTATACTAGAAAATGTGACAAGAAAACAGCAGTCTGTTGTTCTAAGAGGTTTCCCCCCCCCCACTTGAGTAATCCGGATAAGAAATATGAAAAGTTTTATAAAAAAAAAGAAAAAAGTCTACATTGTAGATTCAATAAAAGCTATTTGTCATTTGTGAGAACACCACAAGACTTGAAATCATGAAATTACATTCCATTTACAATGTCAGACACATTCAACCTTATAAAATTTGAACTACTCTCTTACTATAACATTCTGAATTTCCAATATCAGAACAAATGGGTCATTGTTTTATAAAATATTTAATTTTTTTTTTTTTTTAAATTCATTATTTGCAGCAAAATTTTATTATTTTACTATACTGGTATTACAGAAATTTTTTTTTTTTTTTTTTTTTTTTTTTTAATAACAATTCAGAAAAAACTTCATTTGGATTAATTCAGCAAATCAAACTGGCCTTTTGATCAATCATAATTAAAACAAAAGTGTGAAATGTGTTTCAATTATTTGTCACATTGTTTAATTCTAAGAGCAGTTTTGTTTCCTACTTCTCAGTCTTTTCTTTATTGATACAAACAAAATAAGACATAAGCATTAATCAAAAACCAGGTTTTTGGTTAATGCTTATGTCCTGTGATTTTAAAAAACTAAAAATCTCCATTAACACTTAGTCCTACTTTTGATTTATTTTTGAATAATCCAGTTTTCAAGATTATATATAACTTTTTTTTCATAGATTAACCATGATGGGCATTTGAACAAAACATTTTATCCTTGGTGTAAATAATACTTGATTTCATCTAGATTCTGATTTGTTTTAAATCAAAATTTGTTGCTAGCTATTTTTATTTACTACTTATGGATTCAATCTTATATACAAAATACAAATTTTATATTCCTTACATGATTTCTACTTATATAGAAAAATCTTTGCTAAATAAGGTTATTTTTGAGATTAAGATTTAAAATCTCAGAACTGCTAAAAATGCCAATAATTTAATGAAGAGAGCAGAAACAAAAAATTGATGAAGTAAAGGAAAAAACTACTAAACACTTAGTAAAGACTATCTCAGAAATTTAATTGTAATCAATAATTCATGCATCTTAAAATCTTTGTTTAAAAAAAAAAAAAAAAAAAAAAAAAAATTCTGTACAAAGATATTGCATAAGGATATTTTTTTGTAACTTTTAATTAAACATTCAATAGTGAAGCTCATTTCTGCAATTCAAATGATGCAAGTTGCACCTAATACACTGAACCTCAAAATTAGGGCAACAGTAATAATCTCCAGTGAACAGATACACTTTAAATGACTGCTACTTCTCTTTCAATCACTGCACCTACAATTCCTGCTGGAAAAAAGCCTCAGAGGAATTGATAATCTTACAACTACCACTTGTTTGCCAAGATTACCCTCCAAAAGAAATATTTTATATTTCACAGTATTTACCCCTCCCCAACACACATTTTCAAATATTACAAATAATTTCTTTGGCAGCTCATGTTCTTTAAACTGAAAGTGATGAATACAAGTGTGTAAAATAAATACTTTTAAATATCACTGAAGTGAATCAGTTAAAAGAATATTTTTTTTAAATTATAAAACTTAAATAAGGTAATACCTACAACCCAATATACAGGGTGTGATAGATAAATTATCTAAATTATGCAAAAAATGAAAGTAACACTGACATCTCATTTTAAGAGAAATATTTACCAAAATTACAAAAATATCTTGAAAAAATATCTTTCATATGAAAGAGTAAATTTATTCAATAAAATTGCCATTGGCTTCAGCCACTGTTTCCAGACAAGTTTGGAATCTCCTACAACTCTTCTAGAGGGTCTCCTTGTTTAAATTGGTGAAAGATCGACACCCAAATGCTCTGAATTTTTAATACTGGAGCTTGCCAAACAGTACAGAATGCCATTTCCAAATTTCTGGTGGAGTGAATTGAGTCATGGTACTCAATCTCACAGAGTGCCCAAAATGAGCCAGACTACTGTGCAATTGACAACATCAAAAACAACACACATGGACAAAATTAAGAATATAAAATGGTGACAATTTACCCATTGTACCCTGTAAATCTGTGATAGATGCTTGCATTTATTTTTTGCATGCAAAATGGTTACCAAATCAATTTCATTTCTCACTAAGAACTCCATGAATCAGGCAGTGTACTAAAGTTGGTTTCATCCTGCAAATACCATCAATGCTCAATGATAGATATTTGCCATTAATACTTTTTGAGTAAACTAAACTTTGGGATCTAGTTCAATATTATTAGTTCCAATAAAACTAATTTTATATAGCAATACTAAATGTAAATTAGCCTTGAGGTTTAGGAATACTTTAAAGATTAACATTATAAAACAATACATCATCAATACTGCTTATATTTTGGAATATAAATGTGTATTACTCAATATAAATGAAATATCTAT